TTCACTAAGTTGAAATCATTAACTAAGATGCTTTATGAATACGCCCCAGGTTCTTGTTCACAGTGTCAGCTTAAAACTGAAGGAACTGCTGCAAAATCAGCTGATTCTGAGTAAAAAAGAAAAAAAGGCAAAACTGTCTAGTCTGTCAATCTGTGAGAGTTAAGCTTTAGGACGAATGATTACATAATATTAATTCATGAGTACATAAAAACAAAATGTACAAAAAATGTCCCAAGAAATGGTTATAAAATCAAATGAGTTGTTTGTCATAGAAGATATTAATAGACATTTGTTTCTACATTTTCATTGGTGTTTGTATTGAAAATAGTATTGCCTTAAGGTATAAACTTTTTTGTTTTAAATGAGTAAGATCTGCTATACATTTCTAATATCATGAACGCTATAATTAAAGAAAACTACTAAAAAGGCATCTTCAGCCAAACATGCAATATTCATTTTATAACCATTTCTTGGGATCATTTTTGTACATTTTGTTTTTATGTACTCATCAATTAATATTATCAAATTATTCGTCCTAAAGCTATACCACGGTGCATATCTATATCGGTATCCTCTTTGCGAAATCTGCTCAAACGGTACCCTCTTTACACATGCACAGGTCATTCTCTGCTAAAAACAAACCAGCGATTGATGACCATCTAGTAAAATTTCAATGTAATAAGGAAATGGGGTTTGACACATACAAAAAATATATACCACGGAACACTAGAATGTTTTCTTTATGTGCTGATTTGTCATGTGCCCGTTTTTCATGTACTGCAACTCCACAATAGGCTACAAAAAATCGACATGTGTTGCCTCGCCCATCACCTCGACTTACTTTTAGGGCTGCAATGAACCGAGGGCTTGATTATATATGCATCATACATATTTAATATGTTCATTTACATATCATCTTCGGACAAATGGCAGTATAGAAAATGTATTATCAAAAATAAATGTAAAATTCATAAAAACTTCGTTTTTGCAGCGTACCCTCATGGCAAAACATACGCTTTTATTTGCGTTAATCGTTAAATAGGTATGTAATATTTCTTACTTTTATGTAAATATTACATACTTAACGATTAACGCAAATAAAAGCATATGTCATGCCTTGTGGGTACGAATGTAAAAAATGAGAGGGTACCTGTGATATAAAATTTCAAATGAAGAGAGGTAGCCCGTGCTGCTGCAAAAGAAAAAAAAGCAAAACTGTCTTGTCTGACAGACTTGACAGTTTTGACATTTTTTCTTTTTTTTCTCAGAATCAGCTGATTTTGGCAGCAGTTCCTTCAATTTTAAGCTGACACTGTGAACAAGAACCTGGGCCGTATTCATAAAGCATTTTAGTGAATAATTTCAACTTAGTGAAAAAAGACATTTTTTTTTGACAAGTTGAATTTAAAAAATCTAACGTGTGTACAAAATTAGTTTGAAAATAGGCAAGAAAATGTCCTAATTAATAAAAACATATTACAAATGTTGTGGATGGTCACTGGTATTGGAAATAAGCCATGTCAAAATTTAAGAACTTCTCAAGAGGATGAAATATTTTAATAAGAAGTTTTTTATGGCCCAAGCACTTTGAACAATGTTGAACAACTGTTCTATTTTATAATTATTTTGTTGATGAAAAAAAATTCCTAAAACCATTGATTTGGAAATGTTGTCATTGTCAGCTGGAAATATAATTTGACCTACAGTGTTTCATTAATAAATATAAAGATTGGTTAAATCGTTTTGTATATTTTCTCCATGAGTGCAAATGGAAATTTTAAAACAAAGGGACGTAACTTGGTAAACTAAATCCGAACCGCAATACGGACTTTACCGAGAATATAACTGTAGCGCCACCTGTTAGCATAATGTGGGTGTCACATAGTATTACACCAGATGTTGCGTTGTATCATGCTTGCTGCATTCGGCTTTCGGCTATGCGCATTCTACCTTATGACATTCGTCATTCAAGCTGAGTAAATAAACCCAAATACAAACAGTTGCAGGTTAATTTATTGAATAAATATACCAGATCAACAAATGAATAATAATTGATCGTTAAATAACGACATCAACATAAAATTAAGCAGAAAGTATAATGTGCATGTAAGAAAGCAATATGTAAAGTCAGAATGCGAGATGTACAAGTTAGAAAGCATGATGTACAAGTTAGAAAGTACGATGTAACGTAAGAAAACAAGATGTAATTTTGACATAAATAACCCTCCATAGAATTCACATACTTGTAATTGAAATAGTTTCTAAAGCACACGACATATATCTTTCATTGCATCAATCGACCGTGACCGTTATCGGATCACGAGCACAATAGAAAATATGCTTGGTTGACAAAAAAGAAACATTATTATCAATATTTTGCTAACAAAAACAAATATTTCTTCGAAATTGTCAACAATAAAATCTACAAGCATGTACAAATAAGTTTACAACACCGTATGAATAATTTTATTGAACAAAAGGTAATGCCTGTGAGTACATATATACAAACATATAATAAAAGTTTTTTTTTACAAAATAATCAGTGGCGGTCTAATTTTATATAAATCATCATAGTTGTATGTAATCGTAAAAAATATCAATTATAACTGCATGCAATTATTATCATATTGCAAACTATAAGAGGCGAGTGGTGAAACAACAGTATCAATCAATAAAATATAAATGCTTTTATGTAAATCCATATATACAAATTGGAAAGCAAGCATAAAACTAAATTGCTTTACGTTTATAAAATACACTTAAATGTAAACGATATTTCAGATCCTTATCGTCAGTTACCTTTATTATTTACCAAAAACATCACGGCTTCCGTTAAATGGTGTTGTTTTTTTTTGCTTCGGGTTTTCGTTATTGAAAATTCATAACAGAACTTGTCTTGTACTCATAAAAAATACTTGTCTTGTAAATAAACTATACTCATTGGTTTTTCTCCTTATGTAACAGAGGCATATTAAAGGCTTCTTCCCAATGGAAACGTTCTTTGAAATCTTTTTCCAAAAATCTGAACTTTGAATTCTGCTTAAGCCGGTGCTAGGGGGCGTGGACAGGTTCAATAAAACCGAGCCTGCAACATTTTCAATTTTGCCGTCTTGGGCTTTCTTTGGGGATTCTTATTTTCTCTATTTTACATCAGCTTTTTTAATTTCTACATCAGCAATTTTAGCAACGATTCTTTACAAAATCAAGAGGCTAAAGCGGCCTCTTCCAAATTAAGTGAATAAAATCACTGATATTTTCATATAAGATTGAATACGACACTTTGCTGTACAGTGAAAATTATAAAACGTTGAAATGTTTTGAACAAACGCATATTTAGTTTCATATAAAATATTTACGAATATCAATATTCCTATTTGATTACATGAAATTTAATTTAAATGAACATTTTATGTTTTAAACATGAAATTCCGTAATTGCATATCGATATTTTTACAATTAAGTATAAGTTACGGCATTCATTGTGGGATCAAAATGATAAATAAGCAAATGCATACATTGTGATACACACATTTTACTGCAGTTTTTATTACATTTAATGAATAAATTTGATTAAAGCAAACTTTTTTCAGAGATTTTCAGCTACCTATATTTCTTATTTCGAAATATATCGTACGTTCTGCAGGTTCATTTATGCATGTTTTATTTCTCGTAAATTCTTGAACTGTTTTATGTTTTTTTCTAGTTTTACAAGTAGCTATACTTTCATCTATGAATGTTTCTCCTCCTTTGTACAAGTATGAAAATCTGGATAAAGTGTAATCCCTCGGAAGCAATAATTACAAAATTACATGAAAATTGCAGACTCGGTTTACAGCAGGTGTCAAGTGCTGTGTGGTAGCTGTAAAATGATGCCCCGTACTACACTTCAGTGTTGTTATATTTTTCTGGTCCTTCAGGATAATTGATGCGAACATTATTAAGTGTTGAGAATCGAGTACCGCTCAAGCCGGTGCTAGGCGGCGTGATGGATGTTGCACTTATTCATTATCCCTCATGTACAGACTCAATCAAACCGAGTCTGCAATTTTCAGAGTCTGTAATTTTATTGTGATTAATGCTTCCGAGGGATCACTTTGTTTTTAGATTTTGGACTGAGTCTGTACCCTAAAACAAACAGTAAAATAAAAAAAATGCATAACAAAATGAAACCTTAATGAGGAACATACTGAAAAGGTGATAAGCACATTTGCGTTATAGGACATATAGCGTCATTTTTTATAACACAATACGTTTGAATACTAGCATTAATGTTTTTTTTGGTTGTTTTTTGTCTTTGTTTTTTCTTTCTTTTCAATTATTGCATTGATTGCCTGCACTGAAATGTATTTGTTACTCTGAAATTATATGATGTATAGGATTATGTACTATGTACAAATCAAAGAAATAAAAGTTCTGTTCTGTTCTAGCTTTGCTGTTTCAGGAGGACCTGAGGTGCATTATTTCAGGCACAAACGGACACCTGAGTGAATCAACAACGTTCCGTAAGCTAGCTGGATAGCTTCCTCACATGAAAGAATACGAAGTCGCTGTCGGGATTCGAACCCACAGCGGTGAGGAGCAAGTGGTTTGAAGTCAACGACTATGACCACTCGGCCACGGACACTCCCGTTAATCTTCCATAAATTGAACACTCTACAGGCTTGATTGATTACATGAAAATATGATTTTGCATTTTTTTAAATAAAATGTTTCGTTTCATACATAAAATGTAGTTAATTTCATATTCACAATTATTTTACTCATTTCGAAAGGGCTATAAGGCATTCATTATTGGATCAAAATGATAAACGATAAATGTATACATTGTCATAGATCATGTAGATAAAACATGGTACTGCGGTTTCTTTTACATCTCAATAATAAATTTAATATAATAAAATTTAAAAAAAACTGTGTCAGATACATTTACATAATAATTATGCAATGAAGCATTTCATCTCACACAATTTGTTTGTAATCAGATATTTTGCGGATCAAAGCTATATCTAAATAGGTTTGTGAATACGTAAGGCATTTTATGTTAAATATATATATAATTCTTACAATTAAGCAATAATTCAATGGTTGTTCATTGATTTTGTCCTATCCACTTTAAATGTGTATGCAATCATTTAAATTGATATATGAGTAACCTATAACTTAATACAATGTATTTGTTTAAAATTAAGTTTAATTTCAAACCACAAAAATTTCGTTTTATTTATTAGATACCTTTTTTTCAGATTTGATTTTTCTCTATATCTAAACATGAAAGTCAGGAGCATGTTTTGGAATACAGATCATAGCCGTCCCCATCATTAATCTGTGTGGGATAAGCTGAATGTATCATATCAAATGTTACTAGTCCCATATAACATGTTGCCTCACTCGCTTTTCCTGAGTCTATTTCGAACGATAAACATTTAGGATTTTTGGTACAGGCTGTTTTACATTCTTCCAGGCGGCTCTTATATTTCGTCTCATCATCAATGTTATAATTGGTAATCCATTTTCCTTTAAATTTAGTATAATTGCCTGTAATTGTTTGGCAAACTGAAATTTAAATCAATAAATCATGTTTTAACATATATCATTTTTTATGTTCGATATGATCATAGCAGAAAGCTTAAACTTAAACTTAAAAAAGCCCAAAAAATAATTCAGCTTTAAAAAATAAACATAACCAGCACACTTGAAATCAAGTATTTTATTTATTTCCATGACAGTGAAATAATTTATATGCAAAATCGTTTTTACATAACCCGATTCAAGAATAAGATTGATATATTTAATACTAATTAATATCTCAGGCAATTTTTTTTCAAAAATATCAAGAGTACTCTTGGAAGAGCTTAACCTTATCCAGCAAGAAATGGTTCTTTTTGTGCGTTTACTGGTTATTTTTTATATTTTATTTTGTGCATTTTGGTTTTCGAAACAATGAAAAACGATTAAAGGCCCATTATGCCTCAGAAATGGTATCAATTTTATTTCTGAAAAAATCTTAAGTCCTGATATCTTGTAACAGTTTCCAAAAAATACTTATAAAGCCATATTCATGAAATATCATGTAGCAGTTTTGGTCTGTTGTTAGTTGGTATAAATATAGTAATAATACGTGTAATTAGAATTTTGTGCGAAGTCAAAATACAACTTTTATATTTACATTTTGCATTCTTTACGGCATAGTAATGCACGTTCAGTGCTACTTTCCTTAGTTGTTAAACATCTAACACCTTTTAATTTCATGTTAGAATATAACTAAACACATGTCTGACATTTCTATAGAATTAAACAATGTCTGAGGCATAATGTGCATTAAACTAACACAATAGGACTATATTAGTGCTATGATTACTTTACCTTTTGTACAGTTTTTAATTGTATTGTTATATGCAAATAGTGGAGGACAGAAACATTTTCCTTGTATGCACACACCTTCTGTTTCTAGACAGTTTAAATCACTTGAGCAATTCTTTCCGTGCGCTAAAAATAAATACAGTTAAATTGAGTTCAGTTTAAAAAAAAATCAGACATATTCCACAGAACAAGTGATTTATAAAGTCGCATCTTCTTGTATCAAAATTCCACACCACTGTTACAAATTTCAGAACATTAAATAGTAACCGTTTGGAAAATAACAGTATAAAAACTTTAAAAATATAGATGTGATACATATATTTCCAGAACAATATAGTCAATAATGAAAGCTTCAAAGATTATCCAATGTAGAAATACCTATGGCAAATGCAATCATTCGTGAAAATCAAAAGCATCGCCTTTCGAAGAAATAAGCATGGATTTTAGAAACATCTGCAAATGACTTCAAACGAGAATTTGACATTTTTGTGTCATTTGAAGATAAGCGATGCATGGTATTACAAGCCAAGTTAGATACGTATAATGTGCACGATCTAAACGAAAAGGAAAAAAAAGGACAAAATAAAACAAACTTAAACATTTCAAAAAGGGATCAAATGTTATTTGAAAAGTAGGCACCATATCCTTAACGCGGGGATGTAGTGTTCAAGTAGGAATGTTGCAACTATATATTACTTACTAGGGCATGGTCGCACATAACATTGTTGTGTATCCTCATTTTGCACATCCGATTGATCACAAGTCGATTCCCCATTGCCTTCTATACGAATAGAGCACTCTCTCGATCTTTTTTGAGTTCCCGAATTACAACTTACACTACATGTGCTCCATGGTGACCACGTGGCCCAAGTATAGTTAGCTGAAAGCCAACGTACAAGTATTTGTGAAATAAATCAGCAACTAAATTGGACTGATTACTATGTAAATTATAAAAAAAATCTTCAATATTTTAAGTAATACTATACAATAAAACATTCTGACATAATTAGTTTTCTCTCTTTTTGACATGCATTGTTTCTGGAATGAGTGTAACAATGTCCGCATAGTGCCATAAGACTAAAGTCATAAGACATTTTTGTTAACTATATTATTTTGTTATTTCTGAAGTTTGAAAGGAAAGGTCAAGAAGAGAGGGTGACAATCGCTAAACATACCCCCAAACAATACCCAGTCACATAAAGTCAACAGTTATATGACTTGTTTTAATATGATTCTGTACTTTTAGCATTACATTGTTGAACGCAACAAAACATTATTTTCTTAATAATCAGATTCAATTTGACAAGATATAAAATATGAAATGTTCAGTTCCGGTTTTTTGGTTACTATTAGCTTACAGACCAATTTTTAGTGGGCTTGAACATCGTGGTATTGTGATGATATGTTTTATGTTTACAATTGCTTAAAGTAAAATATTTGCTAGTGACCGGAAAACGTGATTTACCCGCTTCAAACGGAACATAAAATCTTCAAAAAATACTTATCATTGGCAACAATATGCAATGAAAGCCCTTACTGCGTCAGTCATGCAGTAAAAATATAGTGACAATATTGCAAAAACCATTAAATAATTAATTAAGTCAGTAATTGCATATAAAATGTAAAATGGTTCTTAGATTGTTAATATTTTACTTGTTTAAAATCTTAGTACTTTTTTCTCAAGGTTATTTTCTTGATAAATGTTGGCTCATCTGAAGGAATACAGCTTTAACGTGCTAGAAACAAGTATTTGGTTAGCATTCATACTTGTCAAACAGTTGTTCATATAGTGTTGCTTTTAAAAGAAATTCATTTACCAATACAAATTTACTATTTCAAGAAGCTATAGACATCCTGTGTTTATGAAAATATTTATTTTACATGACATATTATGTTGCAATAGAAAAACAAATCAAAATAGGTTGCTAAATGATAATTTTATTTATTAAATGTAATGTCCTGTGATTATACATTTATCTTCATCTTAGTGCAGTAACGGAATAAGTCCCTTCTAAATATAATAGGAGTTAATCAGTAATTGCACTAAGATGACGTTTTAACCAGTGTAAAGATGATTCGAATTAACTTTTCTTTTTTTTTCTTCTTTCATTTAACCGCTCAAAGAAAAACTCTGATGTAAAATTTAAACTGCTATGTATTACACAATGTATACAGTTAACCAGCGTTTTAGATTGTAGATTGGTCTACAATGGGCACATTTTCCGTAAGTATTTTCAATATTGATAAAAAGAAAGAAACACATTTTGTCCCTTTAATTTTCAGAATCGGTCTGTTGCACCTGCAAATACATGACTGTATAAAACAAAGTAGTTATTTCATTGTTCGCTTAAGCCTATTTAAAGTGACAAAACAAACTACACTCATACAGCGACCATACTTTTTACACTCTACGAAACGACATAAAACTTTACCCTTTATTTTGTTTAAAACGACAACATTAAGAAATATTATTGTATTTGTTGGAAAAGTATTAAAATGTTTTTTTTTCTTACTTTTTACACATTCTGTTATATGGCTCCATTGTGCGTCATTAAGACATTTAGCTACAGGTTCTACGCCGTCGTTTTTTGGTTCGTATCTGGGATTGCATATGTAACGAATCTTATTACCAACTCCCCTTTGATTACCAAGAACTTTACCATTTTCAGGGGTCGTTGTGTTGATACACTCTAAAATCATAAAAAGAGCAAGAGCTTATGAAGTAAAATATAAAATATACTTATCGGATAACATTTTTTTTCGGATGCTATTAGCTAAACAACGGAGTTTTATGCATTCGATTTATTAACATTAAAATATCATTTTCCTAAATTTTTAAAATTTTAGAATAGAATAGAATTTAAGAAAATAACAATTTATTTATTATGTATTATATTTATGTTAACATTCACTTAATTTTAACGATAAACTGACTGGCCTCAAAGTAAGAAATTTTGCGAAATACACATGATCCAAAACGCATGCAAGTTGTAACTATTTGCTCGTTAATGTTGATATATGCACAAACTGAGAAGATGACAAAAGAATCATCTCAACATTTATCATGTAGTATACTAGAATCACATAACTATAGTTAAGACCATATATTGAATATATATCACACTCAGATTTGCAAATCAATTTTTGATTTATTACTACATTCGGACAGTTGTCATTTATGGAGGCTATTCGTTGCCAAAAATCCAGCCTTGTTGATCTGAGTTGAACAGTTTGTTAACGGACAAAAAACAATTGTATTTCTTTGTATGTAAACTCCAATTTTGCATTCATGGATTGAGTTTGCCGATTTAACATTGTAAACATGCATTTCAACAAAATACATTTTGTTAAACGACAAAACTTTAACTGTTTTGCTGATAGTAGCAATACCAAGTGTTCGAATACTCATTGTTCGTGTATACGCCGACAAAACAGAAATTACATTCTTAGTTTTACATTGTCGAACCATCACGATTGGGATCAGCATAGTCTAGCTTTACACGTTTTTCAATAGCAGATAAAAATAAGCTTCGCCCATTTTCCCGCCCACTACATCATCGTAAATAAATGTATTTATCCGCTCATTTTCGGTATTTACCGTCGGCGACAAGAAGCGGCGTAGTTTCCCTTTACCACACCTTTTAGGTGTTTAGTTATTCACCAAACATAATTCACTCAACATCAGCGAACTTTAAAGGATTATAGGCATATAAGTTTTAGAACGTTTTAGTTTCCTAGAAAAAGAAACTAAAAAAAATTAATAAAAAAAAAACTCACCAGGCTACTTACTGCCTGAGGTTAAATATTTTTCAAAGAAGTAAAAACTATTGATAAGACTATGTTCAACGACAAATAAATTTGACTGAGGGTATTCAAATTTGCATAGGAATGAGTAACATTTACAGTTAAGCTGCTACCTTACCACTTTCTAATTTCAAGTCAACATCTGATAGAGATTTTGATACGACTTATTACTAATACAGACCAAATTCTGGCTGTTGTCTTTCCTAGTAGTAGCATTTACTATTACATAAGTAACCTTTATTCTAGCGTATGATTTGACAAGAAAAAAAACTTTTAACAATAGTAAAATTATAACCAAAGTTGTGTGAACCCTTTTATATATTTTCCCATTTTTCCCATTTTGTTTTTCAATAATAATATTTAAATGAGTCCAAAGGTATGTATGTTGATTATCAATTTATGTATACCTTGTTTGTTTTATCTCTTAGAAAGCCATCACTTACAAAACTTAATAGTATTTCATGTACATAAAATAGTTCCCTGCTTTTGATCAGATAGACAGCAAGTCTAGGTAACAGCTTTTAACAGCATGTACCATAGATTTTAAAGTTGCTATTGATTCAGTATAATGCATAAAAAGACCTTTACCTATGCCAGCTTACATATATTTAATACTAAAATGCTAAATCACATCCTATGACTCAAAATACCTCCCAATGGAGGTAAACAGAGATGCAAGGATACACTGAATATTTATTTCAACATTAAAATGGGACAAATTCGCAAGATTTTGGTTATACAACGAAATTATCGATAGTAAACTTTGAATTGTTTCGTGGTTATACACTTGGTCAAAAATATGGATTTTTCTACAACCCAACATAGTCCTTTAAATAAAGAAGGCACAGGCTTACTGTTCAGTTTTCTTTATTCGTGTTGCCAAAAGTGACTTCCATGTATCGCAATCTAGTACTATTTGCTGAATGTAAAATATATGCGTACGAGTATTACCGTGTAACGTTTGAAGGCACGCAAACCATATCGTTCATATCAACAAATAGTTGTATGTGTCATTATATATGGAAAACATTCCCTGATGTTAATTCGCCAACTTTAGTTTTTGCATATTAATATGCTCATTTTCAGTATAAATGTTGTTACATTGTTACATTATATCTTAACCAATTTTGCATTACTTGAATATCCAGTACTAGAATACGTTTTAACAAAATCAGAGGATGTTCAAAGTTAACTGTAATTCAGTTGATGTCTGTGAAATTTATAACAGTTTCTATATAATGTGATATATTTTTGTACCAGGAAGAGTTTTCGTGATAATTTTATGTATGGAAGTTGCAAAATCGTTTACAAATGTTAATCGCGTTAAAATGTAAACGGAAAGTGTGGTGTTGTAAACCTGGGTGTGTCAAGTTCTCAATGTCATGATGCACAGCATTAAACGTATTGTGTACGTTCTATCGTTAACATTTCTACATGTCGCAAATTTGAAGTTATACATTTATAAATACAGATTGTGATTTATCTAAGTTGCTATTTACAGCTTCCATTTTATCAAATCGAGATAATCAAAATGCTTAATTCCAGTGCAGTATGTAACTCTCGGATCGACACTTAGACGTTTACTAATCTGTTTTGTAGAACCGAAGTATGCATTGTCAAGTTTCAAAGGCTGAATTTTTGGCAACGAATAGCCTCCAAGTCATTCGCATTTTGGTCATAATAAATGAAATCTATAAACTCTAAATTAAGTTCTATTTGATATCGATACAATTTTCACGCACGTATGTGTAAAAATGTACATCATCTTTTCGTCAGCCCTTAAATATTTTTAAATCATTTTCGTTCACAAGATATTTAATTTGGTTTGGTTTCACGGCGCACCAACACAATTTCGGTTATATGGCGCCGAAAACAAAAGGATGATTTAACCTAACCTCGGGTGTTACAAATTTAAAGCAACGCCAAGGATCAAAACCCCCTAACGTGCTGGAGCTAAGAGATGCACTAAAAATTCGAACCCATGTAGTCGCCTCTAACGATCCTCAACCATTAAAGGCTACCCCTCAGACTCAAGGCGAAAACTATGAAAATTATGTTTGTTTAATAATCCTTATCGTGGTATGATAAATCTTACCTTTTATTTCACACTTTCCACTTTTGGAACTTATTGATTCACAGACCTCCCCATGCTCACAATCTCCTTGACAAGGACTCTAAAGTCAGATAATGTGATACTTAAAAGCATTACAATATTTATCATTTGAAAATTGTCCCTGACAATGTTGTGTTTATTCACATTGTTAGGCTCGTTGACGAGTTCTAAAACCTTTTATTAAGCACATGAAGAGAAAAACTTCTTATCTTTAAAACTATTTCGAACAGTTACGGGAAAGCTCAAAAGCATGTGTTATTATATCCATCAAGCACATTTAAAAAATGTAAATGAACGACACATACCATTACTCTTAAGTATATAACTTATTATAGCATAAAATCGGCTATTTTCCCCTCTTTTGCCCATGTTATAACGGGACCAAAACCATGTGTTAACATAGTCAAGCGCTCTTGTTATAGCCCGGTTTTACCTATGCGCAATACACACAGGGCCAAGTAAACAAACAAACAAAATGACGCCCAAAGAGTGATGCGCTCTTGTAATATTGAAATTATTGATTCGAGGGTCTAAATTTCCGGCGAGCAGCATTCAAGTAACTATGCCGAAAATACTGCGTATAGACATCGCCGATAAACTTGGTCGTCGCCCTTTCTAAGAAACGGACAGTTGTCAATGTAAACAAATATATGTCATTCAGTTTAACCCTCCGATTAAGTTACTAAACAAGATAACAGAAACTGAATATGAGAAAATGTTGTTTTATTGATGTTTATATTGATTAATGGTCTTTATATTTATTTGAGAGAATAATGTTTAGTGCCTTTTTTATAAACGTTTCTGCTTGAAAAAAGGCGATTCTGATGACACTGATCTTTTTCTACCGTCAATCATTCTAATAATTTCTGAGGGTCATGTTTTGTATTGGGTAGAGTAATTTAATGTTGTTGTTTTCTTGAGTTAATAAATCTCCAATGCTAGGCTTTGTTAAATCAATTAAAATTCGAAATTTCGCTCGGTTCTGAGCATTTGTATTTTTCACAGTTGGCCCCGGAAAAATAAAACGCATACGTAAAACATGTATAATTGGATAAATGCCGTCCAAGCACAATGATTTAATGTATGTGTTTTGTATTAAATATAAATCATGAATCTGTTTTAAAAAAATATGCTATAATAGCGTCAACGAACGTTTATTTCGTGTTATAAAGTCTGCAGAGTCCCTCGGTACTGTTGGAGCCCTCGCCCTCACCAACCGTTCCTCGGGACTCTGCAGACGTTATAACACGGAAAAACGTGCGTTAACCCTATAATATAAATTTTGTAAGGTTAATAATTTATTTTTGAAGTAACTAGAACATAAATTTAAACTAATTCATCAGGAAGTTTGACAACATTTTAAAGTGAAGTTGTTATCACCCAATAATTGCATATAATAATTATAACAATAATAATAATAGAAATAATAATAATAATAATAATAATAATAATTATTATTATTATTATAATGATAATAGTAATAATAGTAATAATAATAATTATAATAATAATAATAATAAGAAGAAGAAGAAGAAGAAGAAAAAGAAGAAGAAGAAGAAGAAGAAGAAGAACAACAACAACAACAACAACAACAACAACAACAACAATAATAATATAATAACCTTTATTGAAAAGAAATCAACAGAAAACTTATATTAATTGGGTGTATATTTGGTTTTGGAATTTCATAAAGAATAATATAAAAAGAAGAAGAATTTACCGAATTCTATAAGAATACATACAAATAAGAAAGAAAAATAGACCATAAACTACCTTTATAACTTTGATGTCGTCCTTTTTCACATGTACACACTCGCCGGGATTTGATTGTTCCGTTTCTGAAGTGAGAAATAGCTCACATCCGTTGATTTGACTTCTATAGATAAGAGAACTGCAGTGACCCCGTGCACCGCACTCTGCCACACATTGTCCGATAGATATACCAATTATAAACTGAAATCTGTCTTTGTCAGATTTACACCAATTTTCGTAGGTCACAGAATACTCTAATTCAAAATTGTTTATTTTTACATTTACTACAGCAAAAACTGATTGAAACGCCAGCAATAAAATCAATTCACATTTCATAACTTTTAAAAACATTTTAATAAATTAAAAAAACAACATCATGATCAAAAGGAATTCCAAGAAAATGCGACGCTCATGCCACTAGAAAATGTTTGAACGTACATAATATGTCTGGAGCTAACACTGAATCGTTGTTTCATGGCAACAATTCAAATTAAAAATTCAACATTATTCCATACAAAACCTGACCATATAACAATTTGCAAAACAGGAACATGAATTTCCGGACAATTGACTTTTTGCGGCTAATCCCTCGCAATTTTCAGCGCAAATGTTTTTTTTATAGGTGAATAATGTATGCTCAAAATGCTATGGTTATATGATAGATATTGAATTCCAAATGCATGCAATTGAAAGAGTTGCTCAAACACAGAACATATCTTTCATTACCTGAAAACTATTTAAATATTAAGGATTAACAAATGTCATTTTATTGTATTTTATTGAAGTCACCAATGGCCTGTTACAAATTATTCCCGTTAAAATATCAACTACATTTCAGAATTGATTCTGTTTAACAGGCATCTAAATTATTTACATAACACAAAACCACGCATTTATTGCCTATGCATACTAAATAAGTTTCCTTTTAACATGATATGACTATATTGTATATTTTTGCACGCATGTTTGATATTGCAGTGATCAATTAGACCAAAGTCTGAATAATATTAAATAATCATTCAATAATGTCTATCACACAACAAGGAATATGAATATTTTTCTTCAGTTTAATTACAAAAATGCACACAAAAGTCCCACAATAGCGGGAAACATCAGCAGTATACATGCATAAATATATACAAATACATAATGGAAAACGGCTATATTACATTCTTAGAAAGATAGTATATATAGTTAAAATTAAGTGAGAGAAAAATATATATATAGCTAACATATTTAGTATGATTAATATATCAAATAGAATGTTTTCATTTTTCATAATAATCTGAACAAAACGAAACGAAAGCATATAAAAAAAAACGAAGGATTATCCAGGATATATACAGGTTCTAACAAATTAACTTTCATAAACAAAAAGATTTATATTTGAAATCTTAGAATTGCATGTAACAAATAAAAATGTGCGCAACGTACTTATAGCATAAAGATCGTAATTTAACACTTTTTGTAATGGTGTGAAATTATATATAAATACATATAGCCGAGAAGACATATTATTTCAAATGTCAAAACAGAAGTTTTGCAAATCTCTTAGGATATTGTACTTTTCATATTTCAACAAAGGTGATAACATGTTGCATAATTTCAACATTTTTTTTTGAAAAAGAGAGGCTTATAGTATGCACATATAACATAGACACAAGTTGTATTTTTAATAATTCTAATGCCAAAAAGAAGTATTGTAATATGCTTTACTTAATATATAATGATTTGTTAATTTAACAATATAAGTTTAACTCTTTCATGAAAAACAGGAAGAGAAAATAATGCAAGATACATGCAGCATAGAGAGCAACGGTGCCTTAAGATTGCCCTTAATACAATTGTGACATACATGTACACGTATTAATATGTATACACATCTATTACAAAGAATGTTCTTCAATTAACGATCGGAACAAATACTGATGTTTTTTTTTGTTTTTTTTTTAAAAGACTATGTCTATTTCGGCTTGAATAAACACTAAGCCCATCCGAGTGAAAATGCTGATATTAGAAATAAAAGTCACAATAAGTTTACATTTTGCCATATTTGTTTCCATTTTAATATTTTTCTTCTAACGAATTATTGAATAAACCATGTGACCAACAAATATTCCTAAAAATGCCTTCCAGGATGTACCGGTAACGCTCAGATGTAATCAAAAGTGGGTAGTCTTTTTTTATATTTTAAGCCGTTTTACATTTTATCCTTAACATTTGTTATTGTCCATTATTGATCACCATGACGTTTGAAAAAATATATCGAATTCACCTCAATTTGGTAACTATAAATCTGGCATTTTGTCCTTTGAAGTCACCTGTAAATAAGATTGACAACATTTTGCATATTTTAATGATATAAGTGTTTTGATACATTAAATATAATGCAATTGCGCTACTAGGAACCCGTTTGTATAATTTAAACAATTAACTAGTTAAGTACAGTTTCACTTAAAATCCATTATTTTAATAATTTACAAGTTTTAATACAGTTTCACTTAAAAGCATTGATATTGTAATAAAAATAAAGCTAATTCTCTAATAATCAGTTATCAGATTCGAATTAGTATCTTATTGAAACAACCTCATTGATATTTCAAATACGCCATGCATATGCTGGTAGATAGCAATATTAGAAAATCTCAATTGCATGGTCTCCCTTTATCCGAACGAGGCAAGATGTACTTGTATAAATATGTTTGTTTTGAAAACAACTGAAAACAACAAAAAGTTCCGAAAATTAAGCCATGTACATTTGGATGGGAGTAATGTCACATTAAAATCATTAATAACATGAATACTATATGGTGGTATCTTGTCATGATAAAGTTTTTTTCTTGAAACGACGAGTCTTAGTTGATTTATTTAAGGTTTATGGTTATACAATTTGATCCTCAAGTGATAAGAAATCTGATTAAAATATGGAGCGATCAGAAATTGTTAAACAGAACGTCATGTAGTGCAGGCCTGATGTTAAATAAAAACCACCCGACATTTCGAAGAAAATTACAACATTTGACTTTTTAAATATATTAGAATATTTCCATGCCTTTTATTAAAACTCGTCCCAAGGTAAATAATTTTATGAACTAATGTTTTGTAAATTTCCTTACTTGGTGCATGCACGAAATACTAACTAAAATTAAAGAAAAATGGAATTCTTAAAGAACGCACGAAACGGCTTAATTGAAAATGTTACAGCCTATTCCTGGACGGGAGAGAGAGGTTATTTCCACCCGTTTACGCACCCTTAGCATCTGTATAAAACTAAATCCCATGACTTAAACATAAAGCTACGATTAATTTGCTGTCAGTCACATTACTCTAGCAATCAAATTCAAGTAATCAAATTCCCTTGTAGGTTATTATATTTGAGTGGTATAGCCTGTACTAAGGTCTGCTACAAGGGAAACTGTCTAGAGTTATGGTGGTTCTATCTATCAAAACATATATGTAAGGCTATTAAAATACATTTTGTCACCATTAGACGTAAAATAAACACCACAAACCATATCAAACCTTAGCTTCGACGACCGAAAACGTGCTTTCAATTTCAAAAAATCTCATTGAATAGTTCAAAAGAAAAGCCTGTTGAATATCCTATACTAGTAAAGATGTAAGTTATCTCAATGAAAAAACATGAGAATAGAGATCAACCCTAAAGGGCAATATTCAATGGACGCATAGCCTTACAAAGTCCAGGAAGACAGCTAATCGGGCACGAAGCCATGAAAGGCACTAAAAAAACTAATCCAAGCACAATAAAAAGCATAACGGTTGGCCAAAGTTGATTGCTCAGAATCATTTTTCCATTTAGGTTTGTCATAAAAATATGTTAATTTAAAATTACCAAGCTGGCAAACAAACGTTTGTTGATTTACGACAAGTTAATTGCAATGAAAAAATCAGCTATAAGGGTTAAGACGTAACCCTTTGAGATGACAAAGTTCGTTTGAAACAAACAACAGCTATAAAATGGGAAACAACAATTAGCAGCTTGTATATCATTTACAAAACTTTCTGTTCAGCGACTCTGTGCATTCGCTTCCTTACATACAGTGTAGAAAGGTTTTTGTTTGAAACATCATTTTGTTTTTTGGAAGCCATCGTTTATCCCTATGTGATTGCAAGAAACGACTAAATGTGTCATAATTACTGGAATCTATGCACGAGGTGGTTTTGACCTACAGTGTTTACTAAATTTGTTTGACCCATTATATAAGCCAAAATCAACTTTCCTGTTTAGTACCATATGACCTTACGTGTGTTTGTGCGCTGTGAAACCACAAAAAATCAATAAAATAAAAGAAATGAATATTCTATTTGTTCAAAAATTGACTTAGAAAATGTTCTATTTATTCATTTAAACAATTATTGGATTCAATTCATTGTAACCAGATAAGAAAAAATGCCAGCATAGGGTTGAAGTTTTTTTTACAAAATGAAAACTGCACTGTAAAACAAATTATTTTTAAGTCCAGTTTCAAGATGAATAAATTAAATACTAATAAAGTGTATCATCGTAGACTAAAATAAAATGTCGCATCTATTTCTAATAAAAAGGGCCTTACTTTTATTTCATTTAAAACTTGTAATACAATTAGTGTTTGAGTTCAGATTAGTAGATATTGTAATTATTAATTTCTGAGACAGTGTGTCAATGTCATATTTCTTAAACACTGAGGAATAGCGTTACGTTTACTAACGAAGAACTGTGCAATTAAAAGAGAAGCGTGCGTCTCAAATGTATTTCTTTTATTTCGCCAAAAGTAATTACGTTTTGGAACTGTCGGCATAAGATTAAACAATAGCTGCTAGAATTATAGAAGACTGATTGATTGAGTGTCTCAGCTAAGGCAGCGTTGATATTAGGTTTTGCGACCATGTTTTTTCCTCTCTTGATTTACAGACTAATTAAACAAGAGATGTAAATCTTAATTATGTAAACATTCTGTCCATGTTCCAAAAGACTGTAATACTGGTATTTGATTAAATATTTTGTTCTCAAGACACAAAAACAGTCTTGAGGAAAAATGTGCAGCGATTTGTCAAAATGCACATTAAAAGCATAAGCAAATACATTGAGCTATTATTGATATATAAAACACGGTGATAAGTTTATAGTAGATAATGATTAAAATTAGCAGTCGTCCTTCTAGTAGTAAAATCTGGAAACAAAGTGATCCCTCGGAAGCATTAATCACAACAAAATTACATGACTTGGACTCGGTTTGATTGAGTCTGTACAAGAGGGATAATAAATAAGTGTAACATCCCTCACGCCCGCTAGCACCGGCTTGAGCGGTACTCAATTCCCAAGACTTAACAGTGCTGGCATCAATGATCTCGAAAGACCGAGACTTTAGTGATGGCAGAATATTGATATCAAATGTTACTCAATGTTGTCATAATTTAAATAACACATAATTTTGTGGGTAACAGTAAAAATATAAAATACTGTTTCCGGATGAGTAAGTATTTTTACGAGATATGATATTTTTACTGTTACTCGCTAACCTATGTGGTATTTTTTCTATTACCCCGAAGAATTAATGTTATGACATAAAATATTCAACTAGATCAAACTGTAACGAAACTGAACTCAACT